CACAGGAAAAGTTACAGACCACCAGCTGGATGAGAAAGATATGCATCCATTTCCTATGGTTGCTTTAACAAATTACTACAGATTTAGTGGCTTAAAACAACAAAGATTTATCATCTTATAATTCTGGAGGTCGGAAGTCCAGTATCACTGGGCCAAGGTCAAGGTGTCTGCAGGCCTGCGTTCCCCCTGGACGCTCTAGGGGAGAATTTGTTTCCTTTTCTTTCCCAGCTTCTAGTGGCTGCCTCGCTTCTTGGCTTGTGGCCTCTTTCTCCATCTTCAAAGCCGGCAGTATAGTATCTTCAAATCTCTCTCTGACTCCGACCCTCTGCATCTGTCACCACGTTTCATCTCTCTAACTCAGACACGCTTGCCTCCCTCTTATGAGGACCCAGGTGATTACATCAGGCCCACCCTGGATGGATAATCCGGGATCATCTCCCCATCTCAAAATCCTTAACATCATCATATCTGCAAAGTTCCTTTTGCCACGTGAGTAATGTGTTCACGGGCTTCGGGGCTGAGGATGTGGATGTCTTGGTGGAGCCATTATTCCGCCTACCGCAGAACCGCTCTCAGAGGGCCAGTCAGCCTCAATTCCCACCACGCAGGAAGAGGGGCAGGAGTGGGATGGAGGAAGCCTCAAAGACTCTATCACACGCCCCTGCCAGGAACTTTTGCTCTTGTTGCTGTTGCTGTGGCTCGAGCAGGCCTCCAAATTCGAGAGACACTGCGACAGAAGATGTGCCAAGAGCCTACGTTGCTGCAGTGGAGGGTAAGATCCACGCTGTGATTCCTGGAGCAGGAGGATCAAGGGCAGAGCGTCTCAACCCTGGGTGCACATTATTGTCAGCTGGGGAGACTTTTTTCTAACTTTTTCTTTTCAAATGAGAACAGAGTGGCAAAGATAGTACAGAAATTCCCTGTATAGCCCTCTCCCAGCTTCCCCTAATATTAGCTTCTTACATAACCTGGGTATGTGCATCACAACCAGGAAGCTGACAGTGCTATAGCACTAGGAGCTTGATGGAAGACTATATTCAGATTTCCCCAGTGTTTCCACTAATGCCCTTGTTTTTGTTCCGGGATCCAATCCAGCATCTCCCTTTGCCTTGAGTCATCACGCCTACTTAATCTCTTCCAATCCAGGTCAGTTTCTCAGGCTTTCTTGTTTGTTTTCTCAAGACGTTGACACTTTTGAAGAGTACTGGTCAAGCATTTTGCAGAGTGCCCCTTAATTTGGGTTTGTCTAATATTTTTCTCATGATTAGACCAAGGTTAAGAATTTGGGGGAACCACACAGGGGTGAGAGGCTCTTACTATAGCATCCTGTGTAGAAAGAGGGGCTGTGATATCAACACGGCCCATTACTGATGGTGTTCGCATTGACCCCTTGGTGAAGGTGGTAGCTGCTGGCTTTCTCTCCTGTAAAGGTACAATTTGTCCTCTTCCATACTCTCTTCACTAGGAGCGAGTCCCTAAATCCAGCCCACACCGTTGGGGAGGGGGAGGGTCGGGTGCCTTACTCCCATTGTTTCAATTAGTCACTCCACACCCCTTTACTGTCACCTCACTGCTTTTCACAGACAAGATTAACAGCTAGACCCATCTCAAGTTACCCAGCTAGTAAGTGGCAAAGCTAGAATTTGAGCTCGTGTCTGTCTGGCTCCAAAGGCCATGTTCTTTCCTCTTCATGTTATCGCTGCCAGGTGAAGAGGATGTCGAAATCCCTGAGGTGGGAACTCCCTTCCAGCTGGCCTAGATGGTGTTTTTCAAATCAGTCCTGGATTGTGACCCGTAGTGGGTCAGGAGATCAGTTGGCTGGTTGCATTTTAAATAACAAAATAAAGTAGAAGAGACTATAACAGAAAAGAATCAAAAAGAAAAGATTGCGTCACACACGTAGTAAGTGTAGTTTTGTCAAAGTTTTCTTTCTGTAAACTCTCTGTGCTTAGAGAACTTTATCTTTACAATGGGGATAAAAATAGCGTCGCTCCTACACACACACACGGCATTGTTATGAGTATTAAATGAACTGATAGAGGTAAAGTGCTCAGAACAGAGGCTGGCGCACATTAAGCATTATATAAATATTATGAAGCATGCATGTGCATAAATGGGTCATGGTGTAAAATATGGTTCTTATTGCAGACTGCAATCAAAAAGTTTGAAGACACTGCACTCACATCTCGAGACCGGGGTTGGCAGATTTATGACCTCCAGCCCACTGTTTGTTTTTATAAAGTTTTATTGGGACACAGCCACAATCATTCGTTTACGTATTGTCTATGGCTACTTTTGAGCTCCGACGGCAGAGTTGGGTATTTGCAACAGAGACCGTGAGGTGCACAAGGCCTGAAATATTTACTGTCTGGTCCTCCAGGCCAATGCCCCTGCCTAGAGGGCATCTCAGAATGCAAAGGATATTAGCTGCCTCCACCTAGGCCGCCTGGCCCTATCCCACCATGGCCCTGGCAGGCACGCTTGTCCCCGCGATCACTCTCGGCTGTGTGACTGCGGGCCTAGGGCTTCTAGAAGCTCAATACCCTTTTATCTTGGACCGATGCCCACATGTGCTTCATTTATCCACCTCCACGGCTGTTCATGGTGGAAGGCTAGAAATGTGGTACATCGCTCAGGGTCCCAGCAGGAAACAGATGGCCGCTCAAATTAGAATAATTTGAGGAGTGTTTAATAAAGAGGCTATTTACAAAGGGAAGGGCAAGGTGTAAGAAAGCCACAGGAGATAGCAGAGTCCTTGGAGGCTGGTAAAAGCAGAGGTCCTACCACCCTTGGCTGGAGGCGACAAGGAGAGGGGGAAATTCCTGGAGCTGGAAGGAGAGAGTCATTTAGAGAGCACACCTTAAGAGGAGCTGAGACTGTCAGTCCAGTGACGAGAGCCAGCCCCAGGTGACCCCTTGGGGAGGGAGCTAGGAGAATAAGCGCCTTGATTTCACCTTCCTCCCTCCCTGATCTCCTGTTGGAGTCCCCATTGGCCAAACTGAAATGGAAGCCAGAGGGCGTGAGACCCATTGATGTGTTCCATATGGGTCAGCGTCCCAGGGCAGAGAGAGGCTGGACAACGTTGGAAAGGGGTGAACCTCAGATACTCACACCCAGCATGGATTTAGAAAGCCAGGTGTATTTACCCTCCTGTAGCTCCCCAGACAAAGAATTCCCCGGCTTCATCTCTCCGAGTCAGGAGTGTGGCCCGAACACTAAAGGGTTGTCATAGCTTTTACCTTTTGCTCCCTTCTCTTCCCAGATCTGCTAGGTTCTAGATGGTTATCATGGGGTTAATCTCCCTGGAGTTTATCGTTGTGAGAGGAGTAGGAGGTCATGAACAGAGGCGCAGATAAGCCGCTGGGGCTTTTTGTGCGTCCGAGCTGCATTTGATTAATATGTATGTTAGCCAAGTTTTTCCTCACAACCTGGCCCTCTATCTCAGGAAGGAGCTGCGTCCCGGTAATCTTTGCAGCCCAGCTCAGGTCCAAGAAAAAGCTGAGCCAACCTCTGGCCCCTTGGGTGGAAGAACCAGAGTGAAGAAAAGCCACCTGGACTGAGAAATGTCCCCAGAGTAATCTGTTCCCCCTGGCTGGACCGCTCTGCCTCTACCACTAGCCCAGACGTCCCCATCTACTATCTCACAGGCCCCCAAATCTGGCACAAAACAACAGCATGTCACCTGGAGGGTCTCTCCTGGCTAGTCCACAGCACTGATTTTATGGGTGAGGAGGAAAGGGGCTGGCTCAGGCAGCCCAGCGGCTCCCCACAGAGCTGGGGCTAGAAACCAGGACTGGGAGCTCTAATCAATTTCCATCTCTCTTTTACAGAAGATGCACGTTGATGTCAGTCCTGGATCCTTGGCAAAATTCAAAATGTGGTCTAGTCTTACGCAAGTTTCCTTGTCAGACTCAGCAGCTGAGGCCACACACCAGGACCCTTGGAGACTGCATAGCAGTTCTGTGCAGGCAAGAGGAAGCAGGGGCTTGAGTCAAGCAAATGGGTCCAAATTCAAACTCCCACCTGTTAGTGGCTGTTGTACCTTAAACAGGTTAGTTTTTATGTTAATCAGACTCAGTTTTCTAGTCCTGTAAATTTGGTGCTGATGCCGCTGAGTGGCAGTAACTTCATTACCATACAAGCAAGTACCTCTCGGTGTCCAGAGGTCAATAAATGACACTTTTATTGTTTTTTCTTTTCACCCCAGTTGGAAGACTGGTGGCATATTTGCAACTGCTTTTACAAAAAGTCAGAAGCCAGCTGGTTTGAGGGAAGCTGCTAGAGCTTTGTGCTCTAACCCCAAGAAATGGGGCCCTTTCTTGATGAGGGGGATGCCACCTGCTAGGCCGAGGATTCTCTCGTTTTCATGGATCGGGTGTAATTAGTAAAATCTCAAGCTTCTCCTCCCTTCTTCCCCCTGAAAATTTCTTCAGAGAAATGAAGAGTTCAGACTTATGGCCCAAGTGCTGGGGTTTAAATTAGACAACTTTGTCCTGACAGGAACCGAGTCACAGCTGTCATCCCTGATTATTTTTAGAATTACTACTAAACTCTTTATATGGTATGAGCTGCCATTGTTCAAGGCAAACAGAAAGACTGCACCTTTTATCATGACAGCTCTAGAGCCATCCACCTCCTCGTGTTCATTATTTCTAGCCTGTCTTAGGAAAGGATGATGTGGCATCCTGACAATCTTAAGGTGAGGAGAGCAGACCCCGTGGCTCATTACTACCTCTGAGGGATTCAGCGCTCCCAAAGCTGAGCCGGGCCCACCACCACCGTGAAGCCAAGGAGAAACATTCCAGGGGAAGGAGCAGCTCCACAACCTTCTCAGGATCAACCACCATCTTTCACGAAAAGCAGAAATTGACCCTCAAGTTGCCAACCAATAAGAGGACCCATATGCAAATGACACAGGCACTGGCCAGGAGTGGCCAGCTGGGGAGTGATGTCACAATCCCCTCCTTGACTCAACAATGCCACCACCACTGAAAAGGCTGATCCTTGACTGCGGGTCTCGCAGAAAGAAAAATTCACCGCCAGCAGAGCACCTTCTAGATTGCTCCTAGAGCGTAGGGACAGGAGTCTCTGCCGTCCAACTCACAGAACCGAAGAAAAAAATGACCTCATGAACATGGGCAAAGAAATCCAGCTAAGGCCCAAGGTGAATGTCTCTTCGTACATCCACTTTTTGCTGAATTACAGAAACAAGTTTAAGGAGCAGCAGCCAAATACTTTCGTTGGCTTTAAAGAGTTCTCTAGAAAGTGTTCGGAAAAATGGAGGTCCATTTCCAAGCATGAAAAGGCGAAATATGAAGCCCTGGCGATGCTGGACAAAGCCCGGTACCAGGAAGAGATGATGAATTACATTGGCAAGAAGAAGAAGCGGAGAAAGCGGGACCCCCAGGCACCCAGGAGGCCTCCATCGTCCTTCCTCCTCTTCTGCCAAGACCACTACGCCCAGCTGAAGAGAGAGAATCCAAACTGGTCGGTGGTGCAGGTGGCAAAGGCCTCGGGGAAGATGTGGTCTGCATCGGCCGACGACGAAAAGCAGCCCTACGAACGGAGAGCGGCTCTCCTGAGGGCGAAGTACCAAGAGGACCTGGAAGCCTACCGTGAACAACGCAGAGGCCAGAAGGGTCCCCAAGGCTTGGTTAAGAACCAGTGCAGAGTGTTTGGACAAACTGAGTCAAACAAAGTGGATGGAGCCAATCAGAAATAAAATGCCATTCAACTGTATTGCCTGTGCCTGGTCTCCTGAGTGGCCTTAGAGCAGCCTTAGTTGCTCCTTTGGGGAAGTGAGTGGAGGGGTAGAATTGAGATTGGGGTTCAGAAACTGACTCTGGGGAGGGGCTGGCTTTGGGAGAAGTGGCAACAGTGTCCAAGGGCTGTGTGTGGTCTGTACCTATAGGGGTTGGCTTGGGCAGGGGTGGGAGGAGGGGGGGCTGGAAGTCTCCACGTGTAAAGAAGCTGGGACTCATGGAGGTAGGAGCATCCTGGTTTCAAGTGGACATCCAGGTTGAAGGACCACACTCCGGGTCAGGGGCAAGAACACTGGTGCACCCCCTCACTGGGAGGGTCAGAAGGCCCAGAGTTCAGGCGAGGCTCCCAACTCAGGCCCCAGCAGAGGCTGCGAAACTAGAGTTTAGGTGGGCCTTAGGGGTGTCAGTGTCTAGTAGTCCAGAACTGGTCCTCCAGCAAGGCTGAGATGTCATTGGTGGGCCAGGAGGCGGCTCCGGAGATGGTCGCCATCCTAGTCAGGATGAAGTTAGGGGCTGATTTGACACAAACAGGCATCTAACACTGTCACAAGCACTGTAACTTGGAGAAAAGTCTGATGACATTTTGGTGGGCATGCCCCCAGTCATTTTCCTGTAGCTATAAGCATAGCGCTCATAGAGCAGACATTTGTGGGCTTTATGAACACCTGGGTCCATTCCTTTTTCTCTTGCTCACAGCCCCCTGATTCTATCCCCACTAAGGCTTCAGCGGGTGGAACCCCCCTGGCCACAGTGATTAGCCCAGTGACGGGCATGTGACTCAAGGTGTCTAATCAGAGCAGATCTCAGGACTGGTGAAAGGAGTCCTGGGGAGGATGCAGTCCTGGGGGCTGTTGACAGCCATTTTCCTCAATCTCAGGCCAAAGTGTGGGTCCCTCTGGCATCAGAGCACACTCTTGGACTTCTCATTGAAGATGAGCCCACATGATTCATTTTTTTGTCTAAGACGGTTTGAGTTAGGTTTTCTGCCACTTAAAAATGATCAAAACAGGTAATTTGACACAAATGGGATTGTTCTGTCTGTCCTATAACTTTTTCAGGCAACAATACACTGTGGGCAGCATTTCATACCCATCAATATAGATTGATATGGAATATTCTGAAACGGCTCTTTTGACTTCTTCACATTGAAAAGACCGGGCCAAGATGCAAAACTGCTTTGCCATCACCAGGCTATGCATGCAACAGACTTCCCCGATCCCACCTCGAACCCCCGTTTCATGACGGACTTACAGTACTTCGTACTCTACTGCTGTTTGAACACTCACTTTCAAAAAAAAAGTAAAAATACATATTTTCGAAGTCTTTTCAAACTGGATGAGCCTTTAGGGGACGAGGGCTAATAGAATGGAGTGATTTAGAAATTCAGGGCCTGGAATCAGCCCCTTTATAGAAGACTCTCACGTGCCAGGCCCTGTGTGGGTACCAGGAGGCCCAACACGGACTCCTGTAGGTTCCCATCCATGAGAACTTTCCTTCTGATAAGAGAGATGGACAGGCACACATGGCAGCACTCCGAGGCGTGATGATGAAAATGAAGGCTACACAAAACGCTGGGGCAGGCAGTGGTACCACCAACCACGGCCATCACTGAAGTCTTCCTGGAGGAAGCAGCTTATCCTGCTTGGCAACCTTATGCTGGCAAGATTCCTGTTCCCCATTCCCTGTTGCCCACAGCTGCTGTTCCAACTTTTCTCTGCTTCCTCTCCAGCCCAACCTCTACCCTCTCAGGAGACATCCTCATTTTTTGCTTCATTGAGAAAATAGAGATCATCAGACTAAGGCCTCTCCCTTTCCTTCTTTCTCAACATGTCATTCACACCCATTCTTTCCTCTTGGTCTTGCGTCTCACAGGGAGCTATAACTCTCTTGCTACCCCTGTGCCCCGCCTCCCTCAGGCCCTTGCTCCTCCCTCTAGAGATGCTGACCCTCCAGTCTCTATGCTTGCACAGGTTAGCTTGGTGCCATGACCAGGTGGTTCCCATCTTAACATTGACAGGACACTGGGCAAGTTCTCATTCCTCTGAGTCCTAGGTTTCTCATCCACGCAATGGGGATGCTGCCTGCCTTACAAGTTGTTTTAGTGGTTAAACGATGTAACACATGCAAAAGTGTTTGGCACAGTCCTTAACACATAATAGGAACTGGTGGACACCCCTAGGGTGGCCGTCCCAAGATGCCCCCCTCCTGATGTTCACACTCTTGTATGATCCCCTCTCACTAAACGTGGGCAGAACCCATGACTTGCTTCTGACCAACAGAATAAGGCAAAGGAGAATGGGATGTGACTTCTATGATTACATAATGACATATAAAACTCCATCACGCTGGTTGCTTTGCTCTAGAGATTCTCCTTGCTGGCTTGATGAAGTTGGTGAAGCCCACGTGGCAAGGAACTGTGAGAAATCTCTAGGAGCTGAGGGTAGCTTCAAACCAACAGCTGGCAAAAAATGGAAGCTGTCAGTCCTACAACCCCAAGGAGCTGAGCACTGCAGCAACCATATCACAGGGAAGTGGACCCTTCCCCAGCTGAGCCTCTGGCTGAGAACTCAGCCCTGGCTGACAACTTGGTTGCAGCCTTGTGATACCGCAAGCAATTGACCAAGCTGAGCTGTTACTGGATTCCTGACCCACAGAAACCGTGAGATCACGAATGTGTGTTGTTGTAAGCCACAAAGTTTGTGGTAATTTGTTATACAGCAATCGCTAACTAACATGGTGCTGAATAAATGCCAACTCCCTTATAATTCTAGAAGAGATTGTCTTCAACCTTATTTCTCCCTCCAGCCTCTAGCCTACCTGTTTAATTCCTTTCCTTCGTTACCAACCTCTTGAAGGGGGAGCAGTGGCCATCCTCCCCCCACCCCTGCTAATTCGATCTTGATTTCTGACACTCTGTAGTGGTTCCAGTTGGCGTGGCTTGTTGCCACCCTGAACTGCGGGCTCTGGGCAGGCAGTGGCTATGTGTTACACCACATTCCTCTCTGGGAAGAGGTCCCCCACGCAGCCAGGCCCCAGCCCTCAGGCCACCCCTTCTGGTTTCCTGTGTGAGTAATTACGTGAGTGTGGGTGGCCAAGTCAGAGTTTTGACAACAGTTTGCAGCACCCCTGCTGAAAACTAAGTGCATTAACTTTCCTTTATGAAAAAGACGACAGGAGGGTGTGAATCTGCCTTCTTCTAATGAGTACAATGTAACAACAGTGAAGGAGGCTGGGGGGTGGTGGAAGGAAGAGGAGACGTGGGGGGAGGCCTGGGCCTAAGATAATGGGCCAGAGGAAAAGCAGGCAGAAAGCCTGGTGTGGCGCCAGCATTCCAGACCCAGTGAGCTGGGCTCAGGTGCCCTGTGCCGGGGAAGAGGGAGGCAGCATCTTCGGGTCCATTGCCGTCTTGTTAAGGACTGAATCCCTCTGCTCTGATCCTTCTCTCCTAGAGCCTTTTCCTGTGTTAACTTATTCATTCGTTTATTCAACAAATATTTATGTAAATCTTATGCCTGCAATATACCAGGAACTGTTCTGGTGCTGGGGACACAGCGAGGTCCCTGACCTCTTACATTCTAGTGATGGGAAGACAGAGAGTAAACAAGGCAACAAATAAACACACCAGATCATTTTTTGATAGTGTCAAGTGCTCCAAAGAAAATAAGCCAGTGTAATGGACAAACAATGACAAGTGGGGTTAAGGGTACTTTAAGTGGGTGGTCAGAGATGACATTTGGGTTTGGGTTTAAAGGACAAGAAGGAGCCAAGCATGCCAAGGTCTGAGGGAAGAGTTCTTTAAGCCACAGGACAGCGAGTGCAAAGGCCCTGAGGCAGCAGTGGGCTTGGCATATTAGAGAAACGGAACAGAGGCCAGAATGACTGGAGGTGTGAGCAAGTAGGTGAGATGATGTTGGAGAAGGGAAGGCCTTGGTAAGGAGTTTATTTTGAAGTCTAAGTACAACGGGGATCCACAGAGGGTTTTCTGCGGGGGGAGCCATGAGCTTCCATCTTGACTTCTGGTTATTGGTCATTCTAGAGTCTTCTGAGACTATCAGGTGCCAACAAGGGGATGCTAACCCCTCCAAGGTCTGCAGGAGAAAGAGGCAAGGCCAGCAAGTACCAAACCCCTGGCATTTCCCCTTTTGGAGGACGGAGAATCAGAAACTTCTACTTGGGACCCCTTGGAGCAGCTGTAAGCTGAAAATCAAATGTGGAATCTGTGAAACTTCTCCTGTTGTCATTCATTTTCCCAGGAATTGGGGGGATGGGGGGAGGGGTGAGGTGGGTCTGGGTGGCAGAATGTTCCAGGGGCACGCTTTTTCCTAGTCTCATATTTCAACATGGAACAGCTTCCACCAGACCAGCGGTTCTCAGCTTTGAGCCCACATTAGAATCACCCCAGAATGCTGGGCCTCCCCACCCAGAGTTTGATTCCATTCTCCTGGGAGTTGGACCTATGCTTTGCATTTCTAAAAGTTCCCAGGTGATACCGATGCTGCTGGTGCCAGGACCACAGAAGGTTCTTTTCCCTCTTGCAATCCCAGCATTCACTCCCAAGAGGAGGCGTGGCTTATGTGCACAGTGAGTTTGAGAGGAGGCGCGACCGTGCCCTTCTCTCTTCCCGTCCCTGTCCCCGTCCCCTCCCGGGGCTGCAGAGCGTGTTCAGGTCTGCTCTCCAGTCGCTTCCTCGGGAATAAAGGTGAGAGGCTCATCCTTATCTGTCTTTCTCCTGCGTCTGCCAGTTGGTTCTGATCTTGACAGGGAAATAGCATATTTATCTATTGAGTTTCCCTCAGATCCTAGCAGAGGAGCTGATCCCAGTTGCAAAACAATCGATTAGCATCTGGAACACACAGCTGCATTGGGATCTCATAGTTGATTTTAGCCTCCACTAAAGCATCAATTGTTTGGGGACAAAAAGGTCCAGTTTCTGGGCCTTTAATTAAGGCTGAGGATCAGGGCTGTGGACAGGGTGAG